AAAAAACTCATCACTGTTTGGCATGCAATGGACCAGAGTTTCGCATCAAACTCCCTATTCTACGATACAACAGCAACAACAACAACAATAAAGAACCCAGTGTAAAACATACCTTACCCCTGCCTGCCTTGTGAAGAACTGAAGATAGAGATGCTATTTCAGATAACCCCGGCACAAGGTAAAAGTAAAAGAAGCAGGCATACGCACAACGCGTAGTATCTTCACTAAAGTAAAGTGGCATGCCTAAAAAGTTCAGTTGAGTAATTGTAATACTAAATGCTGACATTTTAAGATAAATCCATCATTTCATAATGATAGAGTAGAGATTAACAAAAACACCTTTTCCATTAGAAGGTACATGTGAGAACCCACAAAAAGTGAAGGAAGGGAGGACAAAATAGACTCCTTCAACTGTGAGTATGTATAGAGCAACAACTATGGGGTTGTGAAACAACACTATGTATATATCTTAACAAAAGCTCAAACAATTGAATAAACAAAAGAAATAAAATATCTAGGGAATTTACCCTTCATCACCTTTATTCTCTTGTTCAGCATCTGCAGTTTTCATGAATCCATTATCAGGGTGGTTTCGTTCACTCTCACCAGCAGCTTGTGAGAGCAAAGAGTCTCCCAAGCTCTCGAGCCCGTTCTGTGTTAGATACTCCAGTGGAAGGTTGGTAGCATTAACAAGGGATGTCATGGTCATTCCAGCAGTGGCCTCGACTAGCATGTCATCGTCGCGATTAGGGTGGGAGTTCAGGTCCAACTGTCCTTTTCCGGCTCCAAACTCCTCCATCTGATCCCCGTTTGTATCCCTTTCGTTCTCTGAAAGATTCATGTGTTCATTCTCGGATTGATTCATATGAAGCAAATGATCAGTTCCACTTGCCCCGTCTGTTTCTGACCCATCTTTAGGAGGAACCTGATCCTTCGCCTGTGCAAGCTCCGCTTCTCGTTCTGATTGTTTCTTCTTCTTACGTAGCATGAGTGTCTTAAACCGACGTTTCACAGTCAAGCAGACATTGCACTTACATGTCGGCTGGTGCTTGCCTTTTCCACTTGGAGGCTGAATGCAAACAATGCAACTGCAACCAGGGCGATGCCGAGGATGTTTAGTAGTGGCTCCAACTGAAGGCTCTCCCAAATCACCAATATTATCTCCTAAAACAGCAAGTGTTGCCAAGGCATCTAGACCAGAAGGCTCACAATCTTCATTGTTTTCTACAAGTTTTCGCCTCTTAAGATCTGGAATGAGGAGACATTAATAGTGAGTGACCAAATTATATAAACAAAGGTGATAACCAAGACAAACCAGTCCGGGAAAACAACTGCTGCAAGAGTAGCATGAGAAACATATACGCATTTTCATTTATTTGATAGTTAAAAAAGAGACTTCGTCGGTAATAGGTTGATGTTGTTTCTAGCTATAAATTTTATAGGAACCAAAAAGTTACCCGGCCCAGTAGTCAAAGTATAAAACTGACTTGCACATAGAACAACTTTTCCTTGTGAAAACTGACTTTTTAGCAACCGTGACCTCTAAGAAACTGTTACTAAAAGCACAACCAAATCTTAAATTCTACAAGAAATTAAACCCACTTAAATCACCCATCGTCATTCTTGTCCACGTATAAAAATTTCCTTACTACTTCATGATCATATGCTTGTGAACATTGCATGTCATTAACAAAGAATCAAAATGAAAAATATATAGGAATTGAAGATTTCTGCTAAACAATGAGGAAAAATATTCAATACCCTTGCCAACTCTAAAGAGAGCTTCCAGTTCCCTCGGATTAATCTCATCAGGAGCAGCACAAGAGCATCTGTGAAAAAGTAGTTGGCAGTAAAGGGTTAGAAAATGTCATTCTTCGGAGAGTATCTATCCAATCCCAGGACAAAGGTATACCAGAGCTAGCTCACCTATCAACATTGACGAGGATATACAACTAAAAGTAATCAAATGAAATAACAAAATTTGCTTAGGCNTTGCACAGACTCCCAATATCATAGTAAGAAGTCACTAAATTGGTTGAAAGGAATTTTCCCTAGTTTATGATTTACCTACCGAGGAACCACAATATGGGCAAAAATCTATTTTTCTTTTTCCTCTTAGGAATGTGATATAACAACCTAGTCTCAAATATAAAGCCAAAATGGGAGATGGATGGAGCCAGATACAGACCTTCTTGAGTCCCAAATATTGTCCGAACAAGTCCACTTTGCAGGAAGGAGAACATGCACCGGCAATCTACGCCATTTAGAGCAGCTGTCACATTGAGCCCATTGCTCCTGATCCCTGCACAACAGTACAACAGAAATTAGCAATCAGCTTAGCTCATTGGAAAAACAAAAATATCTAGCACATAATCAAACAGTGAAACGGCATAAGTAGTTCAAAGGTATCATGTGACAGTTTGCACATTGAACGAAGTTCACTGACACTAGTTATTAATCATAATAGAGAACTACAGATAAATTTCACTCAGTGTAGTCAGTTTTTCCCTTACCCAGAAGATCGGGCAGTAAATATCGTCCTCTTTCCAAATACTGGTGGTTCCTGTAGAAAACAAAAAGAGCATTAGGCATTAAGCTTACTACTGTCGATCATTGGCTATCAAAAAGGAGGACAATGACAGAAAATTAAAAGAAAGGGAAAATTTTTAAGTAACACTTCTACATTTGGGTTGCACGTACTTCATATTCCTCAAATTCATAGTCCTCAATCACAACAACGGTAGGCTTGGAAGTCGGAGGTGGCCGTAGCAATTCTTGTGCTTCTTCCCAAGTGATTCTAAGTTCCATAACATCATCAGCATGCATAAGAAGCCTCTTATTTTTGGACCCTATGTTTCTTGCCTTTTTCTTCTCTGAAATCGGCACTTGCCGGTTCACAGAATCATCACTAGTCCTGCCTCCATTCTTTTCATGTTTCAATGAGAAAAAGAATTTGTATTAAGGGAAAGAGCAAATTCAAATGCTTGCTTAGCAAAAAGACCTAGAAGGTTTAGAGTAACACTCACCGGAAGATTTTCGGTCATGCCAGTGAATGAAGTTTCTGCAAAGCCACTGCCATTGGGAAGGACATTGGGAAGGATAGACGGTTGAGGATCCTGTTATTTGCATATGAAAAAAGGGAAATAAAATCACTACAATAACTTGAAAAAGAAAGCTGGCTATAGCAACCAATATTTTTGTAGGTAACCTGCATGTCAGCATTGTTCGTTGCCTTTCGAAATCCCATAACAAGCTTTCCTCCCGGATCTATTCGACTGAATATCACTACAATAATAGACCATAATCAGTAGTTTATCTGAAAATCACTATCACTATCAAGTACAGAGTCCTTCATGAGCGAAATAAAGGACAGACAGCATCCAAATAACTAGCCATCTGCAAGAGGTGGAAAAATATTTCTCTGATAAATGTACCCGATCCATAGACCTCTTTTTGCCTTTTCTTCTTCTTCTTTTT